ATATATATATATATATAATCAACATACATATCTTTTATATATTGGATAAAAATTACAACAATAATATATAACTTTTACAGTAGAATTAAGTTGACTTACTTAGTTTTTATTCATTATTTTATTAAGTTTGATTGTCATTAGTAATATAATTTTTTTATACAATTAATTAAATAAGTAAATAATATTTATTAATATAATTTTATGTATTAATTATAAATAATAATTTATGATTAGATTTAGATGTCACATGTCGGTGTAAAATTTAGTACATAATTATTAAATTTTATTTTGTAATAATTTGACATGTCTTACACTTACTATAGATCAACTATTACATAATGAAAATGTTAAATAATATACAATTAACCTAAAGTTATCATGATAAGAATTTTCAGATTAATTATGTAATCTACACATATATAGAACATTAAAAGAATCTAATTTTTTAATATTTTTTTAAAAAACATTATCACACGATACAAAGGTTTTATAGACATCAGTTATTAAGATGACATGAGTTGATCTAACTTAAATTTGTTGATAATGTTTTAAAATATAAACAGAAATTGATCAATTATTTTAAATATCTTGTTTGTTCTATCGGTTCCATTTATTTACTTATTTTGCTCGTATACTTTGACCGAACTGATCTGTATGGGAAATGGATCTCACCATTTGTTTTCTAAATTTCAATTACTCTCTCGGCCTCTTACTCCATGAAAATTTTAATTAAATCACACACCAATACAAATAATTAAGTTATCATAAAACAAAATAATGAATTACCAATTTTATCTTTTTTAATTGTTATTAAATTTTTATGAGAGGTGCTTCATATAAAAAATTTATACATTAATATTAATAAAGATGACAAATAACAATCAAAGAATTTAAAAAGTGAGAAAAAAAAGAGATTATCATAATCTTTAATAAAAATAAAAAATAAAAAATAAGATTAACATTTTATAAAAATTATAAAATATCTTGTAGAAAGATCAACATTTTTTTTATTTATAAATTGTGTCTTATAATAAATATGGAATGAAAGGTATAACAAAATTATATTATAATAATAAATTTGTTAAAAATTAAAAATCTCATGTACCGATAAAATCATCAGAAAGTATTCATTTCATCTCCCATCCCTATAGTACATTCTGATAAATTTCTTATCCCTAAAGTACTCATAATATATTTATTTTCTTTTCAATATTTCATATTTTTCTCTTACATACACACCAACATTAGATAATTCTGGAAAATGATTCATAAAAGCAATTTCTTTTAATTTTAAACAACCAAAAATCATATCTAACGTATGAAAATAACATGTTACATACTATTAACGCTCTTATTCCACTGTATCTAAACTGTGTGTAAACTTGTTTGCACAGGACATTAGAGAGAGTTACGTTACCCCACAACAAAAAACGAGCATAGTAATTTCCTTGTATCAGTGCACAGTATATAAGGAAACGGTTCAATAAAGTAATAAAGAAAGCCAAAGCTGGTCAAACACAAAACAGCGATTTGGTTATTCCTCGCTGGACTAAACCATGTTCATAACCTGTATGTATACGTATCATACAATTTATTACAACAATTCATTTATTATATTATATATAATAATAAATAAAGAGAGAGAGAGAATGCAGAATGCGTGTATGCGTTTCCTGAGAAAGCTTTTAAGGCATTGTTTGGCAATTAACAAAAGCAGAACCAAACAAGTAACAACACATGATTTTGCTCATGGGAAAAGGTAACTACAGTACAGCACAACACAACACAGCATGCTAATACTCCAAAAAGTAAAAGGTGGGTCATGAGTTGAGGTGAATTTCACAGCAAAGAAAGAAAGAAAGGAAAAAAAAAAACTCATTCACTCACTCTCCCACCACAGTCATAGATCTCTATTCTCTGCAAAAGTAAAAAGCTTTGCAAGCAACAAAACCACCCCAACACCTAAATCCAGAAAAAGGCCATTTCTTTACATCTTACATGACCTGGGTGAGGTTTGTCTCTGAGGGAACCAGACAAACCTTTCCTCACTCTAAACACTCGCAAAACTACCCCATTACTCTCTCTCTTTGTTACATCTCTTTCTGCCAGCTCTTTGTACCAACATGTCATTGCAAGTTAAATTTTTTTGCTGGTCCCAGAGTAAAATCTGTGGTTTTTCATCCCTTCCTTTGAAAAGAGTTTGAGGGAAAATGGTGAATAACAGTCCTCTATAGTACCCTTTCCGGGTGCTGCTGTCTACATTTGTGTGGCTTTTTTTTTTTTTGGGTACTTTTGTGTACTTATCCTTCAGATTTTGGGTTGGCATTCATACTGAAAGATGAGGAAGAATGGGTGGCAGCTACCTTACCATCCTCTCCAGGTTTGTGTAAAGTTTTGATTTTTATTGTTTTTTTGTTGGATTTGTTACTGTTGTTTTGTTAGGGGTTTGTCATTTTGAGAATTTGTTTTATTGGTGAAGGTGGTGGCCATTGCTGTGTTTTTGGCTCTGGGGTTTGCCTTCTACGTGTTCTTTGCTCCATTTGTTGGGAAGAAGATGTATCAATATGTTGTTATGGGCCTCTACACACCCCTGGTATCACAATCTGGGACCTTTATCTGCTTTATGCTTATTTTACTGATTTTAAGTGGGTTGGTGGAAGGTGTGATGAGATCTGTGATTGTTGCTTTCTGATTCAAATTTTTGGTTTCATGTATATCTAATCTTTATTGGAATCCTTTTCCTTCCCTACTTTATTTGTGTGTTTTTTTTTTTGGGTTAGCATTTATAATTTAGTGCTGTATGTAGCTGTCTCTGTATATCTCGGGGGGGTTCATTTGGCTGCTTCTTATGCCATCCTTAAATAAATTAACCTCTCTCCCCAATTAACGACTCCATTTTTTAAGCTTGTTTTGAGAGATATCCTTTTGAAGATATGTAAACAAGAAATCAAGGCTTTAAACTGTGCTATCTTTCATATTTGTTACTGTTGACAAACCAGGCACACGTATGTGGTGGGAAATTATTATCGATGTTCAAACAATTTTGAGATTTTGAAATGGAATATAGCATTGAATTGTCCTTATCATATTACTTTTTTTGCCTTCTTGATAATTCTGGTCACGGTCACACTCTTTGGAGAGATGTTGATACCTATAGAGTAGTCCCTTTGTTGAAATGCAATATTGTTGATTATCTATATTTTAGTGAAGTTTTTCTAGGCTGATTTGCTTTTGCAACCCATGTTCTATATTATGATATCCTCTCTTGCTGTTTGATTTTTTTTAGACCTTCTTTATATGGCTGTGGCCATTCTAGGGCTGCTAGCCTGCTACTGCCTTGCATCATTCTGTTTTTCTGTGTCAATATTTCTGGCTTTGAATATGCTTGCAAATTGCTATACACTTTACCTATATTGACTGACAAATTGTTTAGGCTTGTAAAAGAAGGGAACTATCTCTGTATTTTTCTTAAAATGCACGAAGGACATTATCATGTTGTATTAATATCGCACCTCTTGCCAGATTACTTGTGTCTTTGGACTGTACATTTGGTGTGCAGCATCTGATCCTGCAGATCCTGGGGTTTTCAAGTCCAAAAAATATCTTAAAATTCCAGATGGCAAAAAGCTTGATGGACTTAAGGATTCTAAACTAGGAGGGGAATCAACTTCATCAATGCATGATGGGAATGTTTCAACTGTTGGCCCAAAATCGGTCGATAAGGAAGATTTGGGGACTGAAGCTAGTTTTAAAGATGCTGCTATATCTACAGAGAAGAAAAGTGAATCATCACCTTCTTCGTCCTGTCTCCAATTGGTTTGCTCTCCTTGTGCTTATATCTGTGGCTGCTCAAGTTCAAGTAAGGAGTCTTTTGATGAACAAGCAAGTGAAGATGGCATGTTCTATTGCAGTTTGTGTGAAGTTGAGGTGAGCAGAAGCTTTTTGACTAAAATCGTTTGTTCATTAAGTCTGTTGTCATTCTGTTATTTGTTGTGAGTGGGGTGAACAGATAGTTTTACCTTAAGAATCATGCAAGCAGAATTCAGATATACCATTTGTGCATTCCTTGATCTAATAATTTATAATATTATATCAGTTCTGTTACAAATTTGCGCTCATCTTGTAATGCTTGTATGTTGGCAATACATGAATGCTTGGAGGTTTCATTCTGTTAATTTTGATAACACAAAATAATTGGATCATTGAGGAATAATGTTGTTGCAGGTCTTCAAGTATAGCAAGCACTGTAGAGTTTGTGACAAGTGTGTTGATCGCTTTGATCATCATTGCAGAGTATGATACTCTGCATCCTCTTTTCTTTGTTTATCAGTTGATATATCTTTAAATGACTGTTGCTTCTTGGATTTTGTAGTGGCTCAACAATTGTATTGGGAAAAGGAACTACAGGAAATTTTTCACCCTTATGGTTGCTGCTCTCATCTTGGTAAGCAAGATTATTCACCTATACTTTTCTTATCATTAACATCTCCAAATGCATTATCATTGTATAAACTCTGCAACTATGTGTAAAGTACAAAACCATACCCTACTGTGACCATACAATTCAAATATGATTCTGCACCAGATCACCAGATTCTGAAATCCTCTATTCTCAAAATACTATCCTTCATTCCTTTGTGGCCACCTTAGTTTCCCACCATACTTGAACTCAATGAGGAGGCAAGATCTTAGTAAGAAGTGGTATTAGACTTCTGGAGAACTTATGATGTGGTTTACTAGAGTCTCTCTCCATATAAATATTTTGCATTCTCTTGAAACCACTGAACATGCTTCTGTATATTATTTCCCTAGAGTCTGCTTGGAAGAAGTGCTTGAGAGCTTTTCTACTAGAAAATATATTTTATTTAATAGAATAGCTCTCAAAAGCGTTTCTAGCTTGTAACTAAACAGACTACTAGTCTCCTTGTCAAATACACTTGATATTCTTCCCAAGTTCCTATCAAGTGTCAAAAGTTGACCCGTCCTTAAGCAAGCAACATGCCAAGACCTGAAGAAAACCGCAGCATAAGCATTTTTAATTTCCTTGTCATTTTCATTTTGATTAACTATTGACAGGTATGTACATGGTTTGTGCACGTTGGGCTTGGGATTGCAGCTTATTCTTCAGTGGGTGACTGGGATACTTGTGCTTATCTGCTGTTTCATTGAGAAGAAGAAATTTTCCGCAGATATTGCCTCCCAGTTAGGGAGCAGCTTCTCTCTTGTTCCCTTTGTTATTGTAGTGGTGAGCATTCTGCTACATTCTTAGTGCATACTATGTAGTTACTGTAACACAATTTCTATTCTTTTGTTCCTTGATTTTTGTTGACTTCTTTCTTTCCCTTGTTCCTTTACTCTTTTGCATGATGAACCTCTTCATTTCACAGGCAGTCTGCACCATTTTGGCTATGATGGCTACCTTACCCCTTGCTCAGCTGTTCTTCTTTCATATTCTTCTCATTAAAAAGGTAAACTTTGTAACTGTGTGCCATAGAAAGCATCTTAATTAATCATTCATACAAGTAGCAACTTATTTATTTGCACTTCTCTCTAATTTCTTCAAAGGCATATAGGAGATAATATGGTAATTTTTTCTGGGCAGCACAATATGAATGCATCTCATTTTAACAACAACAAAGTTGTTTAAATATTATGATTATTATGGTATGACTACTCAGGGAATCAGCACATATGATTACATCATAGCTTTGAGGGAGCAGGAGCAGGAGCAGCAAGGTATAGGAGGTCAGCAGAGTCCTCAAATGTCACCTGTTAGCTCACTTACTGGGATGAGCAGTGCAAGCTCCTTTACTACTTTCCATCGTGGCGCGTGGTGCACACCCCCACGTTTATTCCTTGAAGATCAGGTATTGTTCGTATTTCAATCCTGCTATTAGTTAATGTTTATATTTCTCTATGTAACAGTAGAACCATAGGAAGTACTGGCAAATCTATAGAATGCCTGTTTGCATTTGTGACACATTTCTAACAAGACACTTGTCAGACACGCCATGACACGTGCCCGGCACATCTACAACATGTCACAATTAAAAATTTTAACTTTTTGGGTTTGGATACCTGTCTGACACAACTTTAATACCTTTCTAACATGACTTGAATATGAACTAAGAGAGTTATTCGATTTTATCTATATCTATTATAAAAAAAATAAAATTAAAAAGTCAAACTTACTCATAAATGTTGCAAGGCTCATAACATTTTTTAATCTATTGTGAGGTTTATTTTCATAAAAATTACTTAATGTTTTAATTTTTAAGAGATATGATTCATTTTCTAAGAGTCATTATCATATAAAAATTGTAAAGCTCATATATACATGTTGTGTCTTTGTGTCATACTTTTTTGGATATTAGCCTTGTCCATGTTGTGTCAGAGTCGGTGCTTCATAGGTAAAACCTTGCCTGGAACTCCTTATATGGTTGTCCTTCCATTTACGATGCTTTTATGTGTGTATGGCTTTATGTGAGCCTCAGGGACAATATCATTTGAATGAATGACTTAGTTATAGAAAATTGATACCGAATAAAACATTAAAAAAAGATGCAAACAGAATGGTACTAATGATCAAAATATGATTAGTGAAGCAAAATTTGTTGGATGTTCATGTAAGACATGATGAAGAATACTGTGATGTATCAACTTCAGAAATATATCTAAGTTTTCTTGATGGTTTGCATTATGCAGTTTGATGTAGTGCCCCCAGAAACTGCTTCTGTAAGCTCATCGCTGGGAAGGAAGACAATGAAAGACGAGCCAGTTAAGAAAAAGAATCCCGGAGCAGTGAAAATTAGTCCATGGACGCTTGCACGGTTGAATGCAGAAGAGGTTTCTAAGGCGGCCGCAGAAGCAAGAAAAAAGTCAAAGATTCTTCAGCCAGTGACAAGGCATAACAACGAGCCTTTCAGGCTGGAGCCAGACCGCAACTCTGGCAGCAGCAGCCGGCGAATGAGCCCCAGGATTGAGAACAACAGAAGACGGGCAGGCAAGCGCATTCGCCTACCTGCCGACTTGCCTATGGAAGCCATACCAAAATTTTCTGCCAGCAGCACTGACAAAGGCTTCAGTGGACCGTCTAGTTTGGTGCCTCTCCAGCTCAAAGCACGCAGCGCGTTTCAAACAAGTCAAGCAGTGTCAAGCTCAGCTGGGATTGTTGCTTCCTCTCCTGAGAGCAGTATAGACTCGCCTGACATCCACCCATTTCATGTGTCTACGACAGAAGCCGAAGAAGCAAGGAGGCTAGCCGGTATTTCGGCGGTCAGTGCAGCGAGCCTGAAGGGAATCCCTCTGTCAAGGTCAACAAGTGATGGGTATGAGGCCTCTGGTGGGGAGGATAGTGACAGGGTTCCCACAAGGATTGTTCAGAGATCAACAAATTGGACTAATCTGCTCTTCAGTGCTGATCAGGAAGAGAGAGCCTTTGAGCCAAAATCATCATCCAGCATGGTTCATATTGGGAAGTTGTGACCAATTTGGGTGTTAATTAGACAACTATATTTGAGATTATATTGATGGGAATTGTTCATTCTTTGATTTGTGAGGCTAAAGGTACTTAAACATCCCTTAACCCTCACCTTCTTGAGGTTGAGTTGAAGCCCCTCAAAGTTTTGGAGGTAGGCTAAGTGGAAAGTGAGAACCCATGTACAAAGTTTTAGGTCACATTAACTGATGAGCCTGAACTTCTCAATATGTTGTTTTGTGCTCCCTTATTTTCTATTCATAAAATTTTAACAAAGTCCTTGTGGATGACCTATGTTGACAAGTGACAACTACTTTGCTCACATTTTCTTCAAGGATTAATAAATAAAAGTGTTATTAAAAATTACAACAGGTAAAATTTTTGATAGGGATATTTTGGTAGCATTAACTATGTTTGGAAGAGATTAAAGTGGAAACAAAAACAATAGAGAAAACAAAATATGGCAAATGATAAGTTTAATGACACTTTATATCTAGTATTATAATTGTTTGATTTTAGTTTTTAAGTTTTAATCGAGTAATTTTAATCTATTAAATTTTATAATTATATAATTTTAGTTTTTTAATTTTAATTAAGTAATTTTAGTAATTTTAATCTATTAAATTTTATAATTATATAATTTTAGTTTTTTAATTTTAATTAAGTAATTTTAGTCTAGTATCGGAATTATATGGTTGCAGTTTTTTAAGTATTATAATTATATAATTTTTGTTTAAATTAATTTATATATATTATAATTTTTATTTATGTATTAAATAATATATATTTATTATTATTAAAAATATTAATATATTAAATTTAAATAAGTAAAAATTTATATAATTGTAATATTTGAGAGATTAAAATTACACAACTATGATAATAGATTAAAATTTTTCAATTAAAAATTGAAGGACAAAAGTTGCACAATTATGATATTTGAAGTATTAATATTGTTTGATTAAAATTTGAGAAATTAAAATTGCATACTTCAAGGACAAAAAACGCATTTAAGTCAAAATGATATATATGAAGATGGATCAAATTATTCTAAGAGCAATTATAATTAAAATTATTTCACTCAATAATTCATAATGTATGCTAATATTTAACTATCAAATTAAATTAAATTTTTTAATATATAAATCAAATTTACAAATTTTTAGAAATTTATAAATCACTTAATATTTTGTTATATATATTCAAATTAACATATAAAATACTTTTATAATTGTCCATCAATTTGAATTAATAAAATTAAATATCAAATATTTTTTTCAGGTTTTTTAAACATTTGTGATCTATGCATTAATTTTTTTTATTTAATTAGTAAATTATTGAAATTCAACATATACAATAGGTTATTAAATATAATAATTTTACCAAGAGTTACTCTTAGAGTAATTTAATCCCTCCTATATATATAAAGAGATGAGAGATTCACTTATATTTACTTTATTCAATAATTTATGTTGTACATCAAATTTCAACAGTTTAACTATTGAATTAAAAATTCTTAATGCATATGTCAAGTATGCAAGTTTTTAAAAAGTTTGGAAACTATTTGATATTTCATTTCATTAATTCAAATTAACACATAATCATAAAAATATTTTATTCATTAATTCAAATTAATGAAACAAATTATTAAATAATTTTTTATTTTTTATTTATAAATTTGTAAACTTGATCTATGCATTAAAATTTTTTAATTTAATACTTAGATCACTGAAATATTATGTATAATATGAGTTATTAAATAAAATCTACCAAAATTTACTTTTAGACTAAGTAAAGGTTGGAGAGAAAAAGGATTGGTTGGGGGGAGAAAAAGCAATGAAATTTAAGAGGAAAATTGATTTTTATGTACAAAAGTTTAAACTCTCACACACGTATATATATTGGTTGGAGAGAAAAAGGAATGGAATTTAAGAGAAAAATTGATTTTTATGTACAAAAGTTTAATCTCTCTTTTTTTTTTTTTATCGCACTTCTCTATAATTTGAATTTAAATTTTCTTCTGATTTTTGATTTCTGAATGTGTGTAAATATTGATAAAGTATTATTTTAGGAGTTATACAGATTCCCTTATTTTCTCATTCATAAACCAAACTATTACACAATTGATAGATTTAATTTGTTAGGATAGTTTAGAAGCCAATCGGAACTAATATATTTTGTCTTTTTATTAAATTCAAACTTGTATAGGTCCATAAATTGATAAAAAGAACTTCTGTAACATTGAGCATATTGACTATAATAAATCTACTTGGGTTGATAAGTTGCTTCTAGTTACTAGCACGGTACACTTTCACAAACTTTGGTGTGCTTAATTTGTGGTTATGGGTTTTGGAATAAAAACTATAATTGTTGATAGCCTTTGTGACGGTGTCTAGTAGGATCTTAGCACTTGGGTTAGTTGATTATTGTATCATGCTTATAATTAGATTTTTGTTGTAAGTTTGATAATAATTTTCTTTTTCTTAGAGAAAGTTAAATTATAAACATAATACAATAATCTACTATTTTAAAAATAAGAGTTAAATGATGAATTTGTGAGTGAAGGTAGACTTTGTAAGACCTGCAAGCTTTTCTTTTTCCTCTTTCCCCTCAACATTCTTATTTTCTCCTCATTCCCTATTCTCTCATTTCAACTTTCTGAGTTTCCTTATGGTATTGAAGGTGATGAATAGAAGTGTGGGTAGCTAGTCGGAAGCGCGGACCTTCTCCTTCTTCTTCTTCCTCTCCCTGAAGCTCGAATTCTACTTCTCTAAGGTAAGGGAAGCTAGATTGTAAACTTGTTAGTTGTGGGTGAGTTTAAGAACTCATTTGGAGTAAAAATTGTTGAGAATCATTGATTGATTTGAAGAATTTCTCATTTTCGTGGTTTCAGAAAAATTGGGAAATTTGGTGATTTTTGATGCATTTTAGGGTTGCATGTTGAAATTGAAGTTGTTTTTGAGTTGTATGATGTAAATGCATTTCAGTTTTTGGATTGCATGTATTTGAGTTGGCTGATTTTTAGGTTTTTGAAGAAAATTTTGAAGTTTTGGGGTTGACTGTTTGAAGTTGAGCCAGGCGCAATTCTTTGCCCTAGGCGTGCATTCATGAGGGACTATCATGTTCTAATCATGCCGGGAACAATTAGTCACGCCAGGCGCTATTGAGAATAAGGTGTCTCTGGATGAATCGCGTCGGGCGTGGGGAGAACCACGCCGGGTGCGATATCAGATGTTTGTCTTATAATTTTGGTTACTGATAAGGCGTCAGGCGTGCTCTGAGCACGCTGGGTGTAGAGACTCCTTGGGGGGCACCGTGCGCGAGTTTGGCACACTGGGCTAGGGAGACTCTTGGAAGTCTCTACCTACCAACACGCCCGACGTGATGATGATACGCCGGGCGTGGGAGAGCTTTAGAGCTCACGGGTTGGGTTCAGGCTGGGCGCGAGTTTACTTGTGCCGGGCGTTAAGGTGTTTGATTCTATGCTTAAGAAAATGTTGAATATTGTGATATGATGAGAAGATGTAGTTGTGTGTTGAATCATGGTTGTGTACATGTGAAGAAATAATGTATGTATGTTTGGGATAAGTTGCTTTGTTGCTAAAACATGTTGTTAATGTTGAGCTGATTACGTTGTTTAAGTTGAAAGTTGATTGAGATGATGAGTTGAAAAGTTGTGTGTTGTTTAAAGTTTTTAAGTTGAGCTGTGTTGTTGAGTTGTAAGCTGATTCAATTGTGATGATAAGTTGTTGATCACTAGGACTAGAGGAGATGTTTTCGAAGTTGCTCATCCCATTGTGCGGATTGAGATAGTTGTGGTGCTCTAAGAGCCCAAGTTGTTGAAAACCCTCCTTGGAAAGTTGTCCCTTGGAGTGGACGTTGTGTTGTTCTCCTCTAGGACTTAGTTGGTCCCGTGTGTGGGCAAGGTCGAGGCACAAATGTACAAAGCGACCACGGTATAGGGGGAAGGTCGAGTTATACCGATTACAAGTGGCCAAATTTGAGTAAAGTACGAAGTCGGGAACTTAGTTCCTAACTGAGTATCGGAGGGTTGTAGTATTTGGAAGATAGTCGGTAGGCTAATTTCATAGGTGACTTAGTTGAGCTAACTAATGTCGTGGTAGGCCTAAACCCAGTTGTTCTATCATGACCTAGTACTATACTTCCTTGTTTAAGTGGTAAAGTCTGAGAAATCGTGAAGTTGTGGATTGATATCCAAATTTGTTGTTTACCTAGCAAGCCCAAAAAGGTTCTGTGTTGTCGGTTCCGTAGGGCCTAGCCATTTAGAATGCTCACCCACGTAGGAGATCTCCGAATTGAACTGCGTGATGACGCATAAGTTGTTGATGAGTTGAATTGATGTTGATATGAGTTGTATATATGTTGTTGTGTTGTGAAGCTGTGATTCAGTTGGATGTTGTGATTCAGTTGGATGTTGTTATGTGTTGAACGTTGAAATGTTGAAATTATTGTTCTGTTGTTAAAGTTGTAAGTTGTCTATATCTATATGTTGATTATTTTCACTAGCTTATCCTTGCATGCTTCCATGTGGTTTGGACTGTGATGATCATACTATGTATGGGAGCAGAGCAGGGATAGGCTAGAGAGTAGTAGTAGTGTCATAGGTGGTGGCAGGAGCTGATTTTGTGTAGGCTACCTCGGTGTAGCATTTTGTTAGTATTAGATATTTGGATTTGTTGAGCCTCAGGCTGGATATATGTATATACTCTTTTATGTATGCATATTCTACTTCTATGTGGTGTTATTCTGTAGTATTGATATTTTACATACATGAGAGTTGAAGTGAAGCTGCATCAAATTTCTTAATTAAGGTATTGGTTTGAGCCATATAAAAAAAATGTGTATGAAATAGAAGATCTTACTAAAGGTATTTAACAAGGTTTTCTCGTAAAGATTAGTTAACTTAATTTTTTCTTTTTGAAAAAATTAGTCATATATGAATATTTTGCCATAATATATAGTAATTGGAAAAAAATAATATAAAAAATAAGATGCTATAATAGGACTACTTTCCTATCCTTTTTAGTTTTAAACAACTCTACCTTTAATTATAAAGTGTTCTCAAATATTCGTGTGAGCTCTTCTATAAAATGCACTCCACAATGTTCCACCTAGTGGGTCACAACAATTGAATCAACAATTGCTTGAACCATCAGATTTTCTTGCCCAATTCATACTTGATAAAATGCCCAAATGAACCACAAGTTAGGATATCCATGTTATTTGTTGTTTACTCTTGAAAATATAAGCATGAACTTATGTGATATTTATATATGCATCGCAAACATGATAGTTGAATCATGAATCAGAAGACTTATGTTTTGAAATTCAAATCAAATCGTATCATGAATCTTATTCATGATCAATAATAAAACATATATTTACAATTAATAAAAATATATTAAAAAAATAACATAAGATCAATATTAAAAAAAAAACATTCGATTTGAACCTTGAGTTTGACAAAAAAAATAACTCAATCAGTCTGAGTCTTGATTTTGATTATTTATGTATATGACTCGTTACAAATTGGTTTCAATCGATGGAATTTTTGGTTGAACCAATGAATTATAGTCAAATTGGCTCAACCAATTTTCCTATTTGTAACTTTTAAAAAGAAATTAAGGAGAATATATACTCATGGAAGTCAAACCCTTCTTCTTAAAAAGGCAAGAATCTTAGGGGGGTGTATTGGTTTAGGATTTCTTAGGATTTTAAAAGACTTTTTTTTGAGTAAAAAAATTCATTGGTATTCAATCATGATTTTATGTCACTTAAAAATAATCTAGTGGTATTCAATCAGGATTTTCAAGATTTTTTAAAGAGTCCATTAAAATTCACTGGTATTCATTTGAGATTTTTTACAACTTAAAAATAATCCATTGGTATTCAAAAATATAAGAATTTTAAAGGATTGTTGTGTGAGAGAGATTTTGAAGGACTTTATAGTGTTATCTATAAATACCAGATTCATAAAACAATCTCATCCAAACCCAGCGGATTTTGAAGGATTGTTTGAAGTGATTTTTCAAGTGTTTCAAGAATTTTCAAGTGAGTTTTTCATCTTTTTTTTTTCTATGCTCCTGTCTTCTCCATTTTTTCTCTACTAATAATACTACACTATTGTTCATTGCTCATATATAATATTTTAGTACTTTTCTCATCTCATTCTCCTATTTTGTGAAACTCTGATATGTAAATGATAGTGCCATTGACTTGCTCTATTTTTCTGTTCGTTCTCTTTAATTAACTTGCTTTGTTTTATTCTATGTAGTTGAATTTGTTCCTTTATATAACACAAAAAAATGTTTGAAATTTCAACTTTTAAGTGGTAATTTTTTTTATAACACACGTCAAGAAAAGAAAAAGATGAAAGATGAAATTGATATCATAATCTCTACAATATATATATATATAAAATATGAATTTGTTAGGGTTTCTGTGAGTCGAATGAGATGAAAATAGATCTTAGTTTGGGGAAGAACCCTCTCAGCATAAAAACTGCGAACTCCCTCCTCCCCTTAAATTTGTTACTCTTATCCCTCCTTTTTTTATGACTCAACAATTATTTTTTTTTTTACTATGAAATTTTCTTTTTATTTTTATATTGTTTATATTTTAAAAAAAGAATTTGCAATATCTAATTTTTTAGGGTTTAGGATTTATGTCTTCATTAGCTTATTTTTTTAAAAAGAAAATATTGTTAAAATATTTGTTAGAATAATTTACATTTATAAATATCGTTAAAAATTATCATATAATATATAACTAAAATAGTATATATATACATATATATATTCTCTATATCTAAATACTTCCGTTTATATATAAAAAGTTATATATCTAAATATTTTTTTAGTATCGAATATACTGATTTTTTTATATAAAAAATTATCTTATGTTTCTATATTTTCGTTTTAACATTTTTTTTATAATGACTGAGGTATTTGATCCATTTGGATAGCCAAGATATATTCGATCTTGTATGATTGATGTGCTTCTAAAAATAATAATATAATTTTATTGATTTTGTCTCTTATCCATAATTATTTATATAACTAGTTTTCAACATATATTGTTTTAGTAATTCAAATGGGAGATTCACAAGGAAATAATAAAGAAAAAGGAAAAGAGAAAGAAAACTATGAAGCTTGGACTAAGGAGGATTCCGATGAATTGTTACAATTGACAGTGAATGCTATAAAAAGATGATAGGATATTATGGAGAATTATTATTACTATTTATCTAGACATTATTTTTTTTATTTTATTATTTTTGTCTTTGAGACTTTTTAAAATTTGAATGTTTGAATTTTTTTTAAAAATCTTATCAAATGTCAAAACTCCACAAAATCCCACAGAATCTATTAAAATCCTGATTTAAAAGTCTTGTAAAATCCACTAAAATCCTGATTTTAAGTCTTGTAGAATCCTGCAAAATCTTAAAAGTTATGAAAATCTTGCAAAGTCTTTTAAAATCTACAAGATTTTTTTAAACTAAAAAAATCCTTTAAAATCCTAATCCAATACACCCCCCTTAGTTATTATAGAACACACCATTGTACCAACAAGTCTAATTAACAAATATGCAACTTAAATTATTTTTATATTTAAATTACATATTTAAAATATAATACATATACACATTATTTTGTGACATCAAAATTACAAGTATGTTATATATATATATATATATGTATATTATTTATATTTTTAATTTGTATTAATTTATACAATTCAACATGCAACTTTTTCATGTACTTTTTTATATAAATTAAAAATAAAAATAATTTTAAATAAGATAAAAATTAAAATTTGAGATACAATATCAATTTATTAAAATTTATAAATATAAAATATATGCAACAAAAATATTTTTTTCAAAAAAATTAATAAAAATTAAATTTTGTAATTCGATTAGTGACCATGGATTCAAACTCTGACTTAAATACAGAGTACTTTAACCAATTTAATAATCGATCTGATTTTTAAAACTATGTATAATATACATGATTTCCATTAAAAATTGCTATAATAGAATAATATTAAAATTTATAATAAATATTCTTGTATGCTATATTTATTAATTATATTAATATCAATTAAAAAATTTCCATTAAAAATCTATAATAGATTTTATTTATCATGTTATATAATAGATTTTACAATAAAGATATTAAAATAAACAATTATCACATCGATCAAATATTTTTATTCGATAATAAAATTAAATTAAAATTACAATTATTATTCTTTCTTCAAAAATTATTATACACATAAATTTATAACAAAATTCGAATATTATAATATGTTTATGATAAAGATATTAAAATAAACAAACAGATGTTAAAAGTTTTTTTAAAAAAAAAATCCCAATACGTCGTCGTTGGAATTAGGGTTGTGCATACACTCACTTGCCTCCTCCGACTGTCCCTTTCCGTGAGAACCGTCACTCCGCTCCGCTGCAACGGCCAAGCACGACGGCCCTTGGAGCCTACAGGTCTGCCATAAACTATCTATCTCTTCGAACCAAAATTCAAGAACAAAAGCGATACACCGCATGATTCGCATCGTTTTCCATTGTATTGTATCGAATCGCATGATTGCAAATATAACTGATAATTCATTGTTTTCCTAGGACTCTCATCATATATGGAAAACTCACGCCAGGAAAAAGTTCAAAAATTTGAAGAATTTGTTGACAAACGCTTGAAACCTGATCTTCTTCATGCTATTTCTCAGCGGTATAATCTTTGCTCCTCTGCATTATGTTGTATTCAGTGTTGTTTTTCTACTACATATGGTACGATACTTGCTTCATTCTGCAGCATGTTTTTAGGTTTTCTGAGCTCTCAAATTTATATATTGCAAATTGTGGAACTATGGTTCGCACTATTTACTCATTTTCTCATCTCTTTATTGCAGGGACAAGGTATTTGAACAACAGAAAATTTTGTATCCTTTTTCACTTTTGTGTACCGGTACCAGCATAAGACTGTAATGTCAACACTACAAATTTTTGTATCATTTATTTCTCAGAAATTCTGCAGTAACATTGAAAGTTCAAATCATGTAAATCATACTTATAACCTGAATTGGAGGCCAGTTTGTATCTAATCATGTAAATCATACTTGTGACTAATGGCAGACTAACACCTAAAACTAATTTTGTATAGTGTTAGATTTTTTTTGTTACCCATATTCAATCCATGTGAAACTTAGTATTTACTAACAGTCCACGAATTCAATGTTGCACATGCACACAGTAAAGGACTATTGTTATGTTTGAATTCACTTGACTTGATTATTCAGTGCTGATTTGCGAAGAAACATTGAAAACCTAGAGAAGAATAGTGTAACCAGTCTACGAACTTTGGTCAATCTTGGGTCTGAAGTATACCTGCAGGCAGAAGTGTAAGTCATCAGCATTTTAGCTTTGGTGACTAATAGCATTGATTCTTTATTTAAATTTCATATGTTCTTGATTTTTGTAAAGCACACTTGTATCTTATCACCAAGCCATATGAATCAAGATCGCACATGTTTTTCTTTTGTATATAAAGGCATCAGTCATCATCATATTATCAAACATTGAGATTTGTGTTATATGGACCAACTTGCATCTAGACACTCGCTACTGCCTCCCCCTCCTCCTCTAGGGTACAATCAATGCATGGAGATTTCAACCTAGTGCAAACCCTCATTACTTGCACAGTGCTAGTTTTTTTCATCTGCACATTATAATTTGTGAATCTTTTTGCTTTGCCTTCAGTCTAATGAAATTCACATCTCTTATATTAAAACTTTACAGGGAAAATACGCAACACATATTTGTAGATGTGGGATTTGGATTCCATGTGGAGTTTACTTGGTCTGAAGCTTTGAACTACATAGAGAAAAGGGAAGAAAAGATAGCCAGGTTTAAGTTTTTGAATTGACATAATTTACCTAACCTAGTTGAAACTTGAAAATGCACCTGTTTATTATGGCTTTCCAAGCTTTTCTTTTCCCCCCTCAATGTTAAGCAACAATATAGCATACTTAAGTGGAGCTGTTTAAATGATGTTGAAATTGACTTTAGTAAAATTATGGTCCAAGATCCTCATGTTTTCTGTCTTAGGCATATTCTATATCAATATTCTCCATTAGTTTGGTTTGTCTGTCAAATTGTAATTTGCAAAACTGAATTGAAGCAGGTTTTCTTTAGTTTTTTTCCTTTGTCTTGGAAATAGTAAATGATCATATTCTATACTTATGTGGGATTATCTCCGTCATACCTTGCATGTTTTGGATGTGGATAGGCTGGAAACTGGTGGTTGATGAATGTGGGTTAGTAAACTTCAGGTTGGCTTGTTAATTGTAACACATTACAAGTTTCATGTACATAGAAAGAACAGATAGTTTGGAAGGCTTGCTAACAAATTACAAAAATTCCGTGCTTAAGCATTTTGGGTACTATAGTGTTAGTCCATCAATTCCAAGTGCTAGGACATTAGCTATTTGGTTTGTTGTTCCATTACATGAGATTAGATGTTAAGATACAGCTACAGAAGTTTAGTCAAACATCATTTTGGAAACAATTAATAGATCCTTGTTTAAATTTAATGTATTTAGCCCTGGAATTGTGATAAGGTTTTGGATTTTCTGTTATATGTTATCTTTTGGTAATTATTCTGGCCATTGTGAAACAAAATTATCTTCATCCTTTCCTTCTTTTTCCATGTCTAAACATGATTAGTTAATTTTCTTTTTCTTTATTTCCTTTTCCTTTGTAAGGTTGAAACTTGAATTTTATGTTGCATTTTCAAACTTATGGCATGTCGTATGTTGCAGGCAGATAGAGGACTACACCCAGTTAATTGCATCAATTAAAGCCCAAATTAAGCTTGTATGTATAATTTACTATGTTTTCATCAACTCACTGATTTCTTAATCCCTTTGCTTGTAATTATTCTTGTGTAAGGGGTGGTACTTGGTCAAGATACTACTTGTCAGAGCTTTCAATATTAGCCAGCATGCCTCACCCAGCCTTAGACCACATGAGATGGGAAAAAAACTTATAGCCGAAAAGCCCACTAAGTGCCTAATGCCCATACGGCCGAAAAGCCTACAGGGCATGTGGGTTATACCAATTCATGGGGCAGCTCACTAAGATAAAAAATAGTCTACCTCTTACTGGGTTTGTCCTGGTATTAACTTGTGTACATGCACCTATGCTTACCAATAGAAACAACAATGGACATTAAAATGTACTCTACATTACCAAATACATTAATTGGAACAGAATGCGGTCTATATGACCCGTTGTAATGCCTACATTACTACCACACCATATTCAACTACAATGGCACATGCAATTAGCAATACTAATTACAAAACAGTAAAAAAAAACAAGGATTTTCTAATATTCTCCTTACAAATAAGGTGTATCCATGCACCTTTTTTTTTTTTTTTTTTTAAATTTTGTTGTTGTTGTCATTTTGTTGTTTAATTATTTTTCATTTGCCTCCATGCATTAGTTTCTTATGAGTTTTTCCCCCACGCTTATTTTTCCTTGTATTTTATGCAAATTTGAAAGATTGAATGCATGTTGATGGAAATTTTTTTTAGTGAGATATCATACATGACATTTTTTTTATGAGGGGAGGTAATCTTGACAAATATTTGAAGGGGTAGTGTGTAGTGTGTTCATGGCTTTTGGAGCTATTACTGACTGACTCGTGTTTGATGCTTATTTTTTAAATTTTTGCTATTGAAATTTGAAAATTCGGATCCATCTACTTCTCAAGATAAAATGGGAGAAATGGTCTAGATGCCTTAGGAAGAATATAGAAAGCAATTACAAAGCACTAAATGCTTCTGATTCTTAATCATCCAATGAATCAAATATATTAGTGGATAAGGAAGTATGGTACAGGCCTGAGAAAATGAAATATATGCAATGTCTATTTTTTTGTACTGGCTTACTTTCTTTTTTGTTTCATTTAGATCAATATTTTTATACTAGATCAGTCACTGAATAGGTAAATCTGTAAAGTGTAAAGGCACAAGTTTATGGTTCATTGAGTTAACCGGTAATAATGAAATATAAATTTTAATATTATATAATTATATAATATCTTAAATAATAAATTCATAAGAAATTAAGTATAAACTTAAGTGGTTTTGCTGACATGCCTTACAAGATAGAAATTCATAATAAATAGATAAGTAATAGAAATCGATATTTAGATATCGAGTTTAGATGGCACATGTTTGATTCCTTTTAGCAAAGTCTTAGGTTCAAGCTTTATGTGGAAAAGATACCTAGCTTGGATAGTTAGTTCCACCATTTTGTGTATATTCGACGAGAATAGAATTATCTTGTGAAGAATACTTTCTTTCCAATATTTATTAAAAAATGATTTAGAAAAAATCTTCAGAAAAAATATTTTTAGAAAAAAAAAAACAGTTTATATTATTTTCTGGGACAGGTTCTTGATTTGGACAGATTTTGGCTGGTTTTGACCTTTCTTTTGTTCTATTAGTTTCATGGATTGATTGGACTCTGACTTGACGGGTTCTTGGGTGAAGCATCTGGTCTTGTCCAATTTTCGATTCAATGGCTTACATTATTCATATATTGCAGGAGTCTAAAATGTTTCAGGGTGAAACTAAATCATTATTCAGAAGATTGAAATAGATCTTTGTTTGGATGAACTTGGTCTTGATTTTGAATACCGAGAATTTTGTTTCGTTTAATTATTGCAACTAATAAAAAAAGATTTTCTGCACTCTGAAGCAAAAGATATGACAAATATTTCAATTACTGAAAAAAAAATATCACTTCTAGTATTGATGAGCATGTTATTATCAAACACAAGTTTTGCTATTCTAGAAAATGTTCAAAGGTTTGAGTTGCACTAGGAATTACTTGCATGGTTTTGTATTGAATCCCAGTGATAATGTGTTGTGCATTGTGCTGAATTTTTTTTAATTACCATTTGTGCAGTCTTGCTTCACTCTGTTGGGATTAATTGTCGAATAATGTTATAATTAGTTGTAAATTCTAGACAAAGGTTTGCAACCTTCCAGCCACAGGACATCAACAGTACTGTTTAACATGCATGAAGATAAAATTGAAGACTAACTAGGAATTATTATTTTGTTTTATTGCATTTTTATTATTGGACGTGGAAATGCTGAATTAGTTATTTGGATATTAAGATGAGGAATATAGATTGCGTTCATTCCAATTAATGTGTTAAAACTACATTATAATGTCCATAGTTATTGGTAATTAGTATGAATAGCATAGTTGTTTTAGGCTTATTGTTAATGCATAGGTTTAGCCCATTTAAGAAGTGAACTAATTTTTAATAGTATGGCCTTAGTCTACATAGGCTTATGCTTTTAGGAAAATTGCAATTTATTTCAATCCAAATAACAATTATTTTGCCTTGGAGTTCCAAGAAATTTAAACTGTTACAATGCAGGTTTGTGAAGGGATTCGAGAATTACTTCAACTTCCAGCTGAGAGATCTTTACCAGAACGGATATTTTGATATTTACTGAAATATGTTCCAAGTTGCTCACATCTTCAACTTCAAGCTGAGAGATCCTTACCATGATGGATATTTTGATATTTATTAAATATATATCAAGTTGCTCATACTTTGGTCACCATGATCTAAAGAAGAAATCCATGTGAAACCGAACAGAGATTGATGTTACATCTCTTTCTCGGACATTGTACCAAAGTACATGAAGATACATGAAATGCTATTATGTTATCTTATTACCTTTTTTTTTTTTTTTTTCCTTTCTAAATATGATGACCTGTGTTGTTATGGTGCCATTGTGATGTCTCAGTCTTCATGCAATATTTTAAGACGAGGTTTGTTTTTGTTAGTCATTAGGTTTAAACACGATTGTTAGGACACTTTGGCAATATCATCAGACTTTTGAGTTTATGGGAAATCAATTATCTGTAAAGTGGGCTCGTTTAGTTTTACATTCAAACAGATTTAGTCTTTGGTTTCCTGTTGAAAAACAAAATCCAAAATCACATTGAACAGAAAAAGACAAATTTTTTTTACTTCTTAACTTTTTTTTTTATTTTTATTTACATTAATACAATTGGTTCTTAAACACACTATTAGTAATTAAATTAAAAAAAAAAAAAGAAGAAGAAGAAGAAAGAAACAGTTAATTTAACTGTGGTTAGTAATATAGAATTGCAATCAATCTGCTAAATGAAAGGGAGAGAAATGAATTAAAATTATTCATATGCAGAGTCACAAATCTGATTGTAACTTTTTGAAATAAGCAGTACAATCCAACAAAGATACCCGTGTCACCTCATGGTTAATGTATGCTGGAACTTTAATAATTCAAAGATTTAAAACTGTGTTCCAACAAGAGCCAATCCCATTTTAGTACCATCACATGTTTGTAGTAAAATCTTCGACAAGCTTTTGTATTCTTTCATTGAATTAGTTATTCAGCCATACAGCTTCAATACGTACTGAATTATTATATCTGTTGCAAGGTTGGAATCACAGATCCAGCTTAAAGTAACATGGAAGAAACCGGTTAATAGGCTTGTAAGAAAGAACGGTGTGATAAGATGGAATTGATGGGACCTATAACATAAATCCATAATACAGTACAGCAAGCAAATGCAACGTCATATCTTGATTGGTTTTGCATTTGGTTGATGCGATTATGATTGATGATTTATCATGAGGCTGTTACTGCTTTTATGGGGTGGTGTGTTGTGATGTGGATTGCATCTGATAATATCTGTTCTGATTTAACGGAAGCATCAACTTAGGTTCCATCACCGACAACGGACACATCCCTCTCATCTCGCATACATCCAACACCTTCTCACTTTTCTTTATTCCTCAGGTAAGGTTTCACTCACACTTTGTTCTGTTCTTTGTTTTTCCTACTTTCCAAGTCTTGTGAACTAGGTTGAAATGTTTTTAATTTTTTAATAATAAAATCGTTACTTGAACTGTGAAGGGTAATGGTAAAAAAAGAAAGACTGAAAAATACAATACATGATGTGACAAGAAAAACAAAATAGTCATATAAAAAAGACAGATGAAAAGATGGCTAAAAAATCAAGTATATTAACACTAATCCTATTGTGATATCTTTTGTATATTTTCTTCTTATAAAAAGTAGAGAGTCTTGAAGAGAACAAAATTATCTTTTGTTTATACATTTGATTTGATTTAAAGCTTGTTTTAAAATATGGCTTAAATTCTGAACTCTTTTTTGTCAATTTTTTTTCTTCATATTTATGTTTCTTTTGAAGTCTCTTTGTGCTTTTTTAAATGAGAATTGCTTACATTTTGATGTGTGGTGAAGTTCAATGGCTCTGAATTATGTGTCACTGATATATTATAAGGATTTTTTTTGTTGGAATAACAAAAACTCACAAGTAAACATATGAACTTGCAATGTAAGACTTAGACACTCTCATGAAGCTTGGTACATGTAGCTAAGAAAACTATACATAAATCCATACATTGTGAGTGATTTAATTGTAACATAAATTATTATATTAATTTGATTTTAATTTTTAGTTTAAAAGTTTCTTTTTTGATAGCTAAATTAGAATTGTATCTAAAGTGATTATTGTTTTCATTTTTATCGTAATAAAACTAGAAGTGCATCTTAACAACTATTTGTAAAACTAGCTTAATTATGAATTACACCCTTTGTTCTCTTGTATAAGAATTTTTTTTTCATGCATATTTAGAAATCAATTAATTATATTAAATTTTAATAATTTTATAATGTTTTTCTTAATTTTTTCTTGTTATAAATGCTTAAAAAAAGTGGTGCAACCGAAGAGTCAAACATTAAATAAAAGATATTTAAAAATTAATATTATCAAATATAGTAAAAATAGTTAAAATTTGTTTATATTTAATAAAAAATATAATTTTTTTATAAAAGTTTTAAAACTTCTATTTTTTCATCATTTTCCTTTTAAGATGTTTGTTTTGTTTATTTTTTTCTTTATCTTTTAATTTTTTTTTGTAATAATCAAACTAAAAGTGCTTTAAAAGTGATATGGATAACCTTTTAAGACTTTTGAAATAACTAAATTAAAATGATTTATGTGGTTCTCGCTAACCTCTAATTATTTTTCTTTTTAAATTTTAATTTAAAACTTTTTGATAGTGATCAAATAAAAAGTGCACTGAAAGTGATTGTAAAGAGTCAAATCCTAACCCTTTGTAGTTTTCATAATAATCAAGTGTATCTAAAGCGACTATTACTTAATTATTATTATTATTATTATTATTATTATTATTATAAAAAGAAATTTAAAAATAAATAAATTTAAATATATATTTAATCTTTAAAAAATGAATGCATTTTGATTTGAGTTTTATGAAAAAAATTATTTTTTATCCATTTAAAATTTAGAATTACTGATTTTAGTTTCTAACAAAAAAAAAACAAATTTTAATTTTGGTCCTTATAATTTATTTATTTATTTTAATTTTCATCATTCTAAAATCTGAAGTCACTAGTTGTAGTCTCTAAGGTTTATTTTATGTAAGGTTTATTTTATGATAGATAAATCACATTTGTTTGAAATTTTTATAAAATTTGTAGAGATGCAACTTACTAACATGATTGCAAATATAGTTTTGTGTGTGACTAAGAATGATCACTTGACCATATATAAGATAAACACAAAAGTAATTAGCAAGATCACAAAATACTAGAGATTAAAAATAAAAATTTTAATTTTAGAGGGATAAAAAATAAAAATAAAAATTATAGAGATCAAAATAAAAAATAATTTATCTTACAAAGACTAAAAACATATTTAAGTAAAAATAATAATATTGAATGAAACATTTCTAATAAATTGAAAAAAAATTAAATAAAAATACTAATAAAATATACAAAATATGAACAAAATAATCTCAAGATAATAATATGTTATGAACGTTTCACACCAACAATGGCCCATGCTTATTTGATGGGAGCCTTAATGAGGTAAAAAAAAATAAAAATTACTATAGCCTAATGTTTTTTTTTTTTCTTAAACCCTTAAAAAACTTACTATAAGTTTAATGTTTCCACTAAATTCATTTTGGAGGAATTTTGTTTTTTAATCTTTTGAAGGCTTGAAGTTTTCTCCTTATAAAAAAAGAAGGATGAGATGCATGAATTTATTATGGGCAACATGAGACTTCTTAGTTAAAAAGAAATCAATGTGTGACTTGAACATTTTTCATTATTAAATTACCTACTTTGAAATTGATTTTTATTAAATAATGATGGATTTTGGCTTCCATTCCAAAGACAACAATTATAGATCTTTTACTAAGCTTTCTAATAATGCAAAGAACACTTCAAATAAATAACTATAACTAAGATATGATATTATAAATACATAATAATTTATTTATTTATACATTTCTTAACATTTATTATATATATATATATTTTAGTGATGATCAAAAATAAAATTATGAAAACTTAAATTCAAAGTGAATAATATATAACTATGATAAAGATATATATAAAACATTCCACTAAAAACAACAAAATATAAAAAATATTCTATATATAAATACATCCTTATCAAATAACTACAAAATATAATCTTAACATATGTTAAAACTAAATATCTCATTGATATTATTTTTAAAATAATTTTCTAAATTTAATAATTTTAATTATATCTATAAATAAATAATAGTATACCAAATCTTTATAATATCACTATTGATGTATTTTAATTAAATTTAGTATATCTTTATAATGGTGTTATTTTCAATTAAAATTTAATTTTAAAGTCTAGAAATAAAGTTATGGGTGAGTTTGATTTGATTTTTGTGTGTAGATGAATCCGTGAATATAGTGTTGAAGAAGATATAGGAGAAAAAACAAAGGGGTAGCATAATTAAAGAATCTATGCCGTACGTGGGTGGGACCCTATAATGGTATATGTGATAGGATCTTAGTAAGGGCAGAGGACAGTATGAGTGCCACAATATTCATTTATCACTCTTTCTGTCTCTTCCCTTCCCATGGACATACGTGCAATCCTGAAAAGTATCTGACCCACCATGCAACCAACTATTGCTCACTTCATACATACAACCCTAAGCACAGCACATATATATATATATATATATATATATATTATGGAATCAACTTTAATCAATATATATATAGATTAAAGTGTCATAAAAAGAAAAATAGTAGAAAAATGTTTTCAAACTAGCATGGTCTTAATTAATTTTGTAAGTTGAATGTCATTAATTTTTGTTTGTAAATTGAAAATCTCAATTATTTATAACATAAAAATTATAGTAGGGGTTAGTGATTCCAAATTACGTAATTATTTATCTTAAAAGTGAAATAAAAGAGGAGATAAAGAATGGTCTCCCTTCTTATACATTTAAAAATAAATAAGAGTCTTATTTTCATCATAGTTATAAAAAATAAATTAATTATCTTTTATATTCTTAATTTATTAACGTATTTTCTACTCATTTTATAAGAAAGGAAAAACATTTATTATACAATTAATAATATAGAAGTCAAACTCATTTTTTGAAAAAATTATTCCTTCACTATTGATTAGAATCATTAAATATAACTAGTACCTATACTTTTAAATGTATTTTATAAGTAGGGTCATTACACTTAACTATTATCTATACTATTTAATTCTAAGAGTATCTTGTATTAATTTATCTTTGATGAATTAAATATTTATTTCTTATATACATGAAGAGTAATAGTATCTCACATATGATGAGTTTAATTAGTTGTTTTATACTATTATAATTTAGTTAATATAATATTTTAGTTATTTAATATAAAAGTCAATAAAATTATCATACATTATTACATTATTTGTAATTGAATCACAATATAAAACAATTTTTTATATATATAACCTATCTTCTCATATTAAATACAAGATAAAACATAAATATTACAAGATAAAACATAGATATTGTTCATTATGTGTTATTTGTACCGATACCTAGTTAGACTTGAAGTTCCAATTTTTTTTAACTCAATAAAAATTTACATTTCTAAGATAACTTTAATTGCAGTAGAAAAAAACAGTACAAAGAAGACCTAATAATTGTACACGAGTGCTCTGCTTATACATATTATATTATATTATATATAGTCTTAAAGGGACAAAAGAGGAACTTCAAAGAACTCACTTTACTTCCTTTCAAACCCCTTCTTTTCTTGGCTCTTGTTTTGTTTCTTCATCTCTCTCTCTCTCATCTCAAATAATACAATTGGTTTGGCATTTGCCGTGCAATGTAATTCTGTAACTGAGCTTCTGTACCATTCCTGTGGGTCCAATAACAGTCTTTTACACCTTTGATTTTTAGCAAACCCATCAACTTTCTTGTCTTTTGCTTTCAAATTTGGATTCTTTACTCTGCCACATACACTTTCATGCTTGCATTGCATGCCAAAAATAAAGGCTCTTCATTTTTTTAGTGTATATTTAGTTTATATTTTTAATGTGATTTATCACGTTTACATGAAGCTATCAGTTATAATTTTTACTTTTTACGTTTTAAATGTGATTCTTGTTTTGAATTATGTTTTGGACGACGCACTTAATCTATGCCACTTTTTATATCTACATTTACAACCTTGTTTAATTACATGCATGAAAATGTACAAAAGAAATGAGATGTGGAAACATATCTAGTTTCCCTTTGACTTGTCTTCATTTTCTCTGTGTGCTTATAGATGAAGTCATCTTTTTCTTTTTTTATTATACTAGTTTTTTGTAGCACGAGTAGTTCACGTTAGGGTAACAAGTTAAAGCTGCATGCACAGATTGTATGCACAACTACCTATACCTGAAAAAATTGAAGATTATATAGATTTGTATGAGGAACTGACAACTACTTTGTCCTTGGTTGAAGCTATCTTTTGCCTCTGCCAAATCAATTGTTTATTATTCACATGTGAATTTGTTAACATTCATCTTTTTTTTTTTTTTTTTTTTTTTTTTTTTGACAAGTGTTAGCATTTATCTAAAGCATATATAAAATAGAACATTGGAAGGATAAATCGCTTGGGAACCCATGCATGGTAAAATTTGAAGTTTTTTTACATGTTAATTTGTTTAGTAGCAAACATTGAGAACAATAAAATAGTATATAGAATCCAAGGGCTATTGTAACTGAATTCAACTTAAAACCTTCAGAAGTAATTCAGCTTTAACAAAAATTATAAAATTATTCCGATACTCTTATGAATGTCACAGTTAAAATATAAAAGAAATATACAGTTAGAAATGCATGCTAATTAGCCAGCATCTTGGCCTTTAAAATGGAGAACTTTTTGGTTTGATAATTATAAAGCAAAGATTGCATGTTTCCAATTTTTTATGCTCCACTAATATTTTTCCTTCACATGCTATATCTACTGATTACATGTGATTTAAATAAACTATCTAGAAATTAAATGGCATTGGCAGAAGAGTTGTCGCTAGCAGTAGAACATGAGCTTCTTGATGTTTTCACTAAGTTTAGGAAGTGGTGCTGTCTTTGGAGGAGCAGCTCTGGATAAAGTAGATGTACTTCTGAACAAACCTAATGACTCTGATCTCTCAAGGTAGAGTCTGCCTCTATAAGCAGCTAAATGTGCATAATATGCAGGAGGAACCAAAGAAATTGGCTTGGTACACCTAACAAAAGTGTAGCATAAATTGTAAACCAATTTCTGAAGTTCATCAGAAGTAAACTGGTTTTCATCCCACAAGACATGGTAGTGAGTTGGCCTACTAGTTCCTTTCACACCCCAATGGCTACAGAGATAGAAATCAAATTCCTTTGGATGAGTGATCACAGAATCAACCACAGTCCCTGGAGGAATGTTTTCATATAGAAAATGGTTTTGGTTTTGAGTTGAAGACCGGTCAGTTTCGAAGGGAAACAGCCTCGTGTGATGCCTCTTTTGCACAACTGCAAAAGTAATGAAAGGCTTATAATCAGGAAACTTTGAACATGCACACCTGATGGATTGTAGCTCCTCTTGAAGCACTTTGTAAAACTGAGTTTCACTAACCCCATCTCTGAAGAAAATGATTCTGTTGGGGAGTTTCTCTACCTCTTGGTAAAAATCATCAAGCAATTCCCCCACCATTGCACCAAGATCCTGGATGATTTCTTGCCTATGTGTTTGAGACCTTATTCTTGAAATGTACTTGTTTGCTGTTGGCCAATTCATGCTACCAACCACAGCAGCAACAGATGGACTGAAATCATCAAGAGGGTGAGGATGTGTCACATCTGCACCCATGAATATCACCGGCTCATCGATATGAAAGAGGCGTGGTATTTGCGAAGGCAGTGAGTTGTACAAGGCAACAGTGCATCCACCAACTTTGGCATTGATTTTGAGGGCCAAATTAGCCAAAAATTGTGAACTCAACTTGCTGAGATTGGGGTACAGGCAGCATTGGCTTACAACACCAACACTTGTCTCAGCAATTCGTTTTAAGTCTGCATACCCTTTGTGTTTTCTCTCCATTATGCAAATAAGAAGCTGGAGATTGTTTGAGGCAGTCCTCTGTATTCTCTTGAGCTTGGATTCCAAAAGGGTGACATTGTTAAGAATCTGGCTTGACTCAAACTGGGGGCTAATAATTGTGTTCTTGTTGAGAAAAATGCCCAATTGTTCACACCTTTGTGATAACTGGTTTATGAATCTGGGGATATAGGATTTCTGCTCAGGTGTGCCCCCAAAACTAATTAGTGCCCACCTTTCAATTGTAGTTCCTTCAAAGACATGGCCATCAAGAAGGTTCCATTGGCGATCGTGACGCGAAGGAGTCAGGTTTCTCACATGACCTCCATCTCCAAGCTTTAGTTTGGGAGGGTGAAGGATTCTCCCAGTCAACCTTGTCATTTCTCTTGAGACTTGGAGTTTGAATTCTTTTTCCTGGTCACCACTGTCAAAAGGATTACATTCCAAGGCATTATAAACCAACACAAGAAGCAATATGAATATGCAAAAGGAAAAAATCAAACAAAGGATCCATAGAAGTACTAAAGAAGTTAAGAAGAATATGAGTCTGATTGGATACATTCTAGAAGAACTTTTGGAAGCTTCTCTACCGAAAATAAAGAGTATTTTCTAATAAAAGAACTCTTAAAAGTCATTTTAAGCTTATATTCAACATGTTTTGTATATCTATTCAAAAGACAAAGAAATGGAACTACTATAGTGTCATGTAGTTAACTACCTGGTAGGCCCAACAGTTCCTCTCATGACTCCTTCAACAATGGCTTTTCGTTCTCCCGGTCTTTGGCAACCCATCTTGAGTATTTTTGCTGTTTGATCATCAGATAGTTTCCCAAGGAACTTCTGGCCTTCACAGATCACACAAAGCTCCATAGGGAGATAACAAGGCTTACTCCTACTAATTTGCAAGCATGGCAATTTTCTGAATTGTATGTCGTAGTTATAGTGGTCTTTAAAGTAGTTCACCAGCCTCAGATTCTTTCCATCTCTGTCAGCAAACCAAAGGTTCTCAGTAACCTCCTCAGTCAAGCCATGGACACGGTATCGCTGAACAGTTTCCCTATGGCAAACAAAGACCCTGATGTTCTTCAACGCCCTCTCTACTTCCTTCCTCTCTTCACCACTTAATTGAGCGGTCTTCCTGTGAGAAAGGTCTCGAAGAAACTCGAGGCGCTTCTGCAAGTATGGAATCACTCCTATGCTCTCATGGAAAGCAGTTACTGAGAAATCCACATTGAGAGCAAGTCCTTGTTGTGTTGGTCTAAGGCTCTGAAAGAAGCCTCTCAATCCAACAGCTCCTCCACCAATATCTTTGCTTCTTCCCATTGAACTTGAATAGAATGACCTCCCTACAGATATGCACTTCTCAGTTGGACTTTCCCTAAGAACTACATCCAAAGCATGTAGATAATCCTGTGGAAGTGGAATCCAATCATCACCCTCTTTGCTCAAGTAGTTAGTCAACTCCTTCCCATTGATCTTTGACACCAGTTTGATATTTATCCTGAAGAGTTTAAGCTGCTCATGCTTCTCTTTCAAGTCAGACATTTCTCCATAAGGTGGTGTCAACTTGCTACTGGGGATTGGGAGGCTTATGTAGAACTCAAGCTTGTCACTTTGGAATTCAACTGGACTATAAAGATTCTTTCTCCCATCATATGCTGGAATAGCACCTGAGAGTACTGCAGAATTGTTGTTTACCAACTTTTGTTTGATTGCTCTTGCAACATCCTTGGAGGGATGAGGAGTGATTTCAACATTGTAATGATATATCTTCTGTGATGGATCAAACTGTACCAAAAAGTGGTTGGCAAGGAGAGAGATCACAGAACCTTCTTGGCCACCAGAGTCTGGCCTCCTTGCAACAATTACTGCCTGTGGCTTCCTTGCTGGAATCATTTTCTTCCCATCATCTCCTTTAAAGGATGGCTTAGCTTGCTGCTGAAGTTCCTTTTCAGCTGAATCAGTATAAGAAACAAGATTGTTCATCATTTTTCCAATTTACTTTGTTGTTGCCCATGGATTAGTTCAAAGGAACAATAAATGCTTCTATTATTACACAGATAAAAGTTTGGGCCTTTCATTTCCCCTCTCCTTTAAGCTTTTCATCCAAACAATAATTTTTTATCAAGTTCCTTCTCTCCTCTCCGGTTCCTTTCAACTAAACATCATGGTGAACTCAAGTTAAAGGTCCATTTGTTTCCACAAGAAAACACAAAATTTCTAGAGAAATTCAGTAGATAATATTTTCTATAAAAAAATGCTATTATAACAAAATATTCTACTATTTGTTTCATTTATAAAAGTATTTTATGAAAAAATTCCTTTGTTTGGATTATACACAAAATTTATCATGCTCACCCCAATTAAAAGTAACCATTTATAAATTAATCACTACCTATATATTAATTACAATAGCAAAGACCATTTTTTTTGGTAGAAGACAGATGTTATACAAAACACTAAATGCACGTATAGAAACTATTATTTTGAAATTTTCATAATAACACCGACTCTCTAGTAATTCCAGCTACAAAAAAATTATTGGCATGAAACTAAAGTAAAAGTAAATGAAGAATCAAAGGTACCTATCTAACTAGACCTTGACTTTGCTTAGCAAACAATTTTATACCCAACCTAAGTCACTAATAACTAGAACAACCCTTGCATCTTTTTTTTTTTTTTTTTTTTTTTTTATTTTGCCTTAAAAAAAACCCAAAAAAAAAAAAA